TTACAAGGGCCTTTATAGGTTAAGGCCTGAACAAGACTAAGCTACAGAGTCTCCTGCCAAATTCGGTCAAGGGTTATGACCAGAGGAGGGAGGGAGAAGGAGTAGTGCGGAAAGCCTCAGTAACATAATAACTGCTTGTTTATGAAATATAATAACCTCTTACATGAAGAAACTGCTTCTAGCAAAAGGCCAACCTCTCCTATAATTCCAGCTAAATGCAATGCTAGCCAATCATATATCTTCTTTGGGCATCCTGTAATAAAACCCTATGCCCTAAAATGGTAAAACCCCAGAAAAATAATATGCACCCTGCTGAGAATACACCCCAACTGATGCCAAGTACTGCCCATATCGGAAACCACCAAGAAGCCCACCACCCAATATGCACCCAATTCTTGGAAAACTAATAAGGAAGGTATTGGGAAAAAGGGACAGACCCCAACTCTTATTTCACGTAAATGATGTATAATTTGTACTATGCTTGCAGTTTGTAAGAATAAAAGGCAGCCTGTGCGTTGTGCTTGGTGGTGTAGTTTTCGGACTGCAACCCCAACGCGTTGGTATGTATTGCAATAAACTGGCCTCAGGCTTGAGTCTGTGAACTAAAATCAATGCGTGGGTGACTTTTTCCATGACACTCCTTTGCCACTAACTTCCTATGGAATATAGAGTCCTGAAGACTCGTACGGTACATCTTCACTGCACGCTTCTTTTGGTGGCGTGTAGAGCATATACACGGGTAGCCCCCACCCCCAGCATATGTATAAATAATGATGTAAACAGAGACACACTGCTTAGGTGAGTAAAGACATGCCTGAAGAGGCTGCATATTTATGTGAGTACATACCCTATATGACTCTCTATGCACCCAAGCTGTGGCCTCTTGTCCACACCTCTATTTATAGGAGTGTAGTGTTCCTCTTCCTTCCTGCTGCAGGGGCCTCTCTCCTCTGCAGGAAAAGACTGCAGGAGTGGGATAACACTCCATCAGCTCTCTGCTGCCAGAGCCTTTCCCCAAGACATGTAGCTTATGCAGCAATGTGGACACAGCGTGGTTTCTATTTCCTTGACACTAGTGTGTAGTGTAGACATAGGAGGACAAGATGTTCCAATTTTATAAGTACAGACCCGATATTTTAGGCTTTTCTTATATAGGCACCTATTACCCCCCACACTCTGTCCCAATTTTTCATGTTTGCTATCTGGTCACCCTATGGAGACATAGCCTCAGTTCAGCCCTGTGGAGCTTAGAGCCTCTTCAGCACTGATGATTCTCATTATCCAAACACTTTTTCCTGTTGGTTTGGGTGTCTCCTGAGACCCTGGGAAAATTGAGACTCACTTGTATTTGCGTGAGCATCATTCAGTTTCAGGTGCACTCTTCACTTTTCCACTTATCACAGCTTTCAGGTAGTGTCCCGAGGAATGTGCTATTATGCCAATATCCCACATCCAAGCTCGCACTGGGTGCTGAATGGATTTAAGGCAGACATTGTTCTCACCATTGGTAGGTTCAGACCTCAGTGCTGGTCAGAAACACAAGACACTACCATAAATAAACTCTAGTCTTTCCACACGGAAGAACATGAGTGGACATTTACAGGAAGTTCTACTACATCCCTGGTACTTTAGGGAGCAGCTCTGCCTGCGAATAGAACTGACCGGGAATTTTCCATTGGAATGATTTTTCCATGGGATACAGTTTCTCCATAATTCAAATTTTCTGTGGTGTCACAGTGTCACACGGGCTCTGTAAGACAGAACAGGGGTCAGTGCATGTGTGAGTCATCTGCCTCCTAATGAGGCTTAAGGGGGGGGATGTGGGGCCCTAGAGGGAAGAGAGAGACCTGGTGAATTAGTCAGGGAAATGGCAGGTGAGAGCTGCCTAAGACTCAGAAATCAGCAAGTCAGAGCTGCCTGAGACCAGGCAACCAGAGGAGGCCCCTGAAGGAAGCTATATGTGTTTCCAACAGGGAAGACGGAAGAGCAGCAAGAAGGTTTTGCTGCCTGGAGACCTGGAGAGGGCTGAAGGCAGGAGTGGACACAGAAAGAGTTGCCTGCTGGCTTACAAACTAGAAAGCTGGAGCCGAGGGCTGAAGGCAGGGGAGCAGACCACTTGTGTCCACACTGGAGAGCTGAAGTAATTCCCGTGGAAAGGCGGTGCGGGCTCATGCTGACAAGCACAGGGTTGCTCCCCAAGTGGAGGGTCTGGGGGCAGGGGGGCTCTCCTGCAGAAGGGACAAGAGAGGAGTGATGAAGCACCCAGGTATGGTGGAAAACACCATTGAGGATGACCTCCCAGCAAGGAGGCCGTGCAAGTTCCCGCTGGGAAGAGCGGGGGTTTTAAGGCCTACATGCACTAAGTGTGTGAAATGGATTTAGGTTTTGGATTTGTACCGGGGATCAATTGAAACATGTTTTAGCAGTAATCCAGCCCAAAGGAGATGCATTATTTAAGCAAGAGATCCTGTTTGTGGAGTGAATGGTGACATGGAACAAGGGAAACTGAGGCGAGAGCTCCTGTTCTGCCATGGCCTGCTGCTGGAGGATGCAGCAGGACCATAGGCACCAACGCCATGGGTCCTCTTGGGCTCAAGCACCCACCGAAAAAAAATATGGGGAGTGCTCAGCACCCGCAGGGTCTGATTAATCTTTTGTGGGTTCTACCCTGCTCTGCCCACACTCCACCCTAGGGCCCCACCCCTGCTTGGCCTCTTTTCCTTGAGGCCCTGCCAATGCTCCGCTCTGAGGCCCTGCCTCCACTCAGCCTTTTCCCCATGAGGCTCCACCTGCCCCTCGCATCAGGGGAGGGCAGACAGGAGCATGCACCGGCAAAAACAAAAGTCAGCACCTGTGCCTAGGACACATGGGAAAATTTCAATTTTTGCCCAAACATTTCAATTTTCTAACAGGAAAATCAAAACTATGTTTTTTCTGGGGTGGGGGAGCAAGAGGGGAAGTTCAGTCCCACTCAAACTGTAATTTTGTTTTTGACCCAAAATGTTTTATTTCAGCTCCATTCCTTGTAAATGTTAAACTGCCTTTCCCTAGCACATTGCCTGATGGGAGTAGTAAGTTCCAGTCCCCATTGTCTCCATCACAGGAGGGCTACATCTCCCACAATGCGGTGTGGACCCAGCGGTTTTAGCAGTGTGTTGGGAGGGCATCAGGGGAGTCAGATGAATGTGGTTGTATCATGAGAACTGTAGTCCAGCCAGGGATCCTGCACCAGAGGTAAGAATGGGGGAATCACCCGTCTCTCTCAGTGCACCTGCTCAGGAAACAGGCCCCACACTTACAGAATTCCCCCCGAGAGAGGTGATTCTCCCACTGTCAGGCTGGGGCCGGGATTACAGCACCCTAGATATTAATGTGATTTCTCAATGGGTCGAACTGATTTTGGCATCATTGTTTCTTCCCTTGGGCAACCAGTTGTAAGGAGAGCTGGGTAGAAAATGTTCTTCCTGCGCTACAAAACTTTATTGAGATGTCAAAAGATTTTCTAATAGCACCTCGGGATGAAACTGAGACCTTCCAACGTTTTGTTGAGGAAAATTCAGAGACAGAAAGGCGATAGCTCAGTGGTAAGGACACTTAATTAGATGCCAGAGAGCTGAGTTCAAATTCCTGTTCTGCCTGGTTTGGAGCAGAGACTTTAAACTTTCCTAGATCTCACATAAGTGCTTGAGCTGCAAGGCTGTTTGGGGTGGATGTTTTCCCTCTTGTAGCTGTTCCACGTTGTATAAATAACTAAATATTTCTTGGAGCAGGGACATGAATCTACATATCTCACAACCAGGCTGGGTGCCATAGCTCAGTGGTACACTGAGTTAATCTCACTCATTGTGAGTGTTTAGCCCAATGAATAATTAATTATTTGGACAAAGTGCAACAGCTCTAACAGGAAAGAGTGAAAACAAGACAGACTCTGTAGCCAGTCGGTTAGAACACTCATATGGGAGGCTACATAGGGCTAACGTCTTGCTCCAAATCAGAGATTTGAGCTGGGGTCTTCTACATCTCAACTAAGTGCACTAACCACTCAACAACTGGCTCCTTCACTAGTTTTGACCTGAAATTCCATCCTAGATCTGAGGAAACCTTTGTGGCCTCTGTATTGGTTATGATGAAGCTGCATCTTCTGATGAAAGCTCATTTTGTCGAATTTTTTTGCCCAGTTCTACTGGTAAATCCAGTGAGCTGAGGGCTGTCTCCAAACGGAGTATTGTTTATTTCCCACAGTAGGAACAAAGGATAATGTAAGAGAAAATAAAGGATTTTATACTAACAACAGTAATATGTGCAACTCTGTCTTACCTAGAGACTTACTATCCATTGGCAGAGACCACAGGCAGTTCCCTCTTTCTTCCAGGACCCTAAACACTGGTCTCTATCTGTGAGACCCACTTCTTATCAGCAGCTCCCTAAAACAACTGTTACTTCCCTTGAAAATTACACTATTATCTGCCCTAGAAGCCCTTTGTCACTGGTTCCTGGGATTTTGGGGTTCTCTTGTGTTTACACACTGGAATCCCTCCCTCCGCTGATGGTCAGAGATGGGGACATCAAAGTGAATTATTCTAGCATTGTTCCTTAACAGTTATTAGATGAGCAGTTTGGTTCTCATTATTGTTCTTTTTCCTCCCTCTGTTGACTTAGTCCTACACAAACACACAGTAAATATCCCAGCATTTAATCTCTTGTGTTCATATGACAAACCCCTTTACATCAATCAGATAGAGAGCGTGTAATATCCCTGAATTATTTAACATCAAAGCCTATCACAGGAACAAAAGGGGAGTATCATATGGGCAAGTATTATTTATTGGATGTGGTGAAAGAGTAGGAGCAAATGGAGGTATCCTCAATTCATTTTAACTTCAGTAGGGGAGATATTCTACCACCCACACCCAGTCCATACGTGATGCCATTTTCTTCAGCAAGTCGAGGGACTGGATAAGGTTCTAGTCAGTCTAAAAGAGAGACCGTACAAATTTCATTCACCTCCTTATGAAAGCAGCCAGTTTGCCTCCAGCTTTCTTCAATGACTCTTTGACCACCTTGTTTCTGAGGCTGTAGATGAGAGGATTGGCCAAGGGTGTCAGGACAGTATAGAAGACAGAGAACACTTTGCGCAGGTCTCCTGCAGTGCCAGCAGTTGGTATCATGTAACTAATGATGAGTGAGCCATAGAAAGTAGCAACTACGATGAGGTGGGAGGAACACGTGGAAAAGGCCTTTTGCCTCTCGGTAGTGGAGGGGATTCTCAGGATGGTGGCGATGATACAAACATAGCACATCAGGGTTAACAGGAATGTAGGAAGTATAACTGCAAAACACAGTAATAGATCTACCAGTTCAATCAGGCTGGTGTCACTGCAGGAGAGTTTGAGCATCGGGGCAAAATCACAAAAGAAATGGTCAATTTCGTTGGGGCCACAGAATGTTAACCTGGCCATCAAAAGAGTTATCAAGGTACTAGTAAAGAAGGCCATTATCCAAGAGCCAGACACTAGCTGTATGCGAACCCAGCTTCTCATAAGTGCTGCATAATGCAAGGAATTGCATATTGCTAGGTAGCGGTCATAAGACATGGCTAATAGGAGGAAACATTCGGCAGTCACTATGAATACAAAGAAGTACAGTTGTGTGATGCAGCCGCTATATGAAATGGTTCTGTCCCCAGTCAGGAGGCTGGCCAGCAGCCTGGGCAGGATGGTGGAGGTGTAGCAGGTCTCCAAGCAGGACAAGTTCCCCAGGAAGAAGTACATGGGGGTGTGAAGGTGCTGATCAGCCACAACTAGCACAAGAGTGAGGATGTTCCCAGCCATGGTTACAATATAGATCACTAGGAACAGCAGGAAGAGAGGGGTCTGCAGTTCTGGGAGATTCACGAATCCCAATAGGATGAATTCTGTGATGAACGTTTGATTGCTCCACTCTACGTTTTCCATGAGTTTTCTCTAGAGGAAAAGAGGGAAAAGAGTTATAATAATAATAATAGATAACTTTTAAAAAAACCCTGCTAGTCATTTGACTATTCTCTGGTCCAGAGACAATATGTTTCTTATTTAGTCAGAGGTAAATAAGCATCCACGGTTCACATTATCTTTTCTCATCTTCCATTCAGCTGTGTCAGAGTTGGATACCCTTTCATTCATTTGCAGGATGTTGCTGAAGGTCAATGATGATGGAGTGATAGCAAAACCATACATGGTGCCGCATCAGAAAATAGTGATTAGTTTAGAAAAAGAATAGGAACATCTATGGAAAGGTTTACTCTAGAAAACAAAACAAAAGAGATATCATTGAGTGTTGGAGGGCTTTGAATTTCTGTACAGCTGGAATTTGCAGGGGAGTCATATATTTAAAAATATTATGGACATAGAAGCAGATGCCTTTTGAAAATAAGTCCATGGTGTCTCCCTTTCTCTCCCCCCCGCCCCGAACCCTTTTAGAATGAGCACTCACTGCGACTGTAAAGTGAACTTTCACGGGAGACTCCTGTATATCTGTAATTTATACAAATACCAGTGTTACATTTTCTGCTTTGCCATATAGGAAACCAGTGATTTTATCACTGATTTGAGCTGCAAACATTTTGAAATGCTGCACTAATGATATGATGATGCTGTTTGCTAGGCAGAGACAGATATCTTTACGTGGAAGTAGATTGCTCATATTAGTCAATATTTGTTCTTTTGTTTGATGTTCTTTTGTTTGACATTCTTTTCTTTCTTACTTTACCTATCTGTCAGTTTTTATTATTATCAGTGGAAATATTTTTTCTTCGTACTAGGTGTTTACAGTGAAATCAACATTTGTGGACATGCATGGATAGAAATCAAATCCTTTCAAGCCTCCTGATCAGTTTTAAATTGGAGAAGGCAGAGACGCAGAAGTATGATTGTGTGTCACTTATTCGTTTATGGCCCTATAATGGTAGATGCTTTACAAATATTTATAAGTAGTAGACAGTCCCAGCCTTGAAGTGCAAACAAGATAAATCTTTGAGGTAGCTTTTAAATCTCAACCTATGGAGCAGATATCCAGCAATATTTATTTACCTAAAGATGCACATTAGTTTAAGCAGGGTAGGCACCTAAAAACACATGAAAATCAAAGGGAGTTAGGTATGTAATCTTCTGCCGTGCTTTCGAAAATCCCTCAAGATGCCTTTCTGCATCTTCAGGTGACTAAATACCCCCAAGGGAAACATTTTTAGTTTGTGATTTTTGGACAAAAGGTTGACATTTTCCACTGAAAACTTTGATCTGGATGAAAAAGTTTTCATTTTCATAGAATTTTACATGTGGGGGTGGGGGGGAAACATTTTCTGACCAATTCTAGATTTTATTCCATGTTTCTTGTTCTCAGTTTCTTCATATGATTTGCAAACTCAGCTAAGACACAGTAAATGACAGGAAGATTAACACCCCTTTGGTTAATAGGAAGCATAAATCTTACCTGCAAAGCTGCAGTCCTAATAGACTGACGCTGTGATATCTTCTCTTAGCCTTGTCATTTTCTAACTGCCTGAAGTTTCTCTCAGAACTTTTCATATACTTTCTTTCTCTTAGTAAAGTGAACTAAGACCATGCGTAGGATAGCATTGATTCATTTTAGTAGCATTTGTAAAGGGAGTAATGCATCCTTTTATATTGATATCCTTCATGTCATCTTCCTTTGATGCAGCTACTGCAGGATATTTTAGTTAAGGTGATGGGGGACTTAATTAAGAGAACATTTAATTTGTCGGCAATATTAACTCTCAAGGCAATCAAACTTCTAACCTTAGCTGAATTATCAAGGGCTTACATATTAGGCCAGTGGTTCTCAAACTTTTGTACTGGTGAGCCCTTTCACATAGCAAGTCCCAACCCTCCCACCCCCTTTATAAATTAAAAGCACTTTTTTAATATATTTAACACCATTATAAATGCTGGTGCCAAAGTGGGCTTTGGGGTGGAGGTTGACAGCTGACAACACCCGCCCCCCCATTTAAGAATCTTTCAACCCCTTGAGAGGTCCCAACCCCCAGTTTGAGAACCCCTGTATTAGTTTGAGGGACATTATAGAAAATCTGTCTATCTATCTACACAAATGTATGAGAATCTTCTGGAGTTACCAGTTAATGGAGTTATCCTTTATCAGTTTTTTAGAGGCTCAAATGTTAGGGAAGTCAATGAAACACTGCTGATATATATCACTGAAGGATCTGGTCAAGTGTGTAAGATCCAAACTCTCCTCCGAAATGGAACCTTTTCATTTAATATAGATTATTCTAGGGTTCCTCCTTCACGACTGCTCATCCCACACCCTAGATCATCTCTCCACCACACAGCTATTCCCCAATCCCTTATATAAATGTAGGGCAAAGAATCACCTATGTCAGTAACTCAGCAGAATGGTATAAGTCTAGTGACTGACACTTTTGAGTCTTTCCAATACTCCTTAGGCTGGGCTACTCCTAGGGTTCCTTCCTCATTAATTCCCAGCACATACCCTAGATCCTCTGTCACCCACTCATTCCCACATCCCTTAATATCAAGGCAAAACTACGAATCACCTGTCTGAATGAGGCATCAGAATGGTATAGCCCTGCTGGCTAGCTCCTCCATTCATGAATCACCATGTAGATTCATGGGATGACTCCTGGTTTACAATATTATAGCTATAATTAACATATTAACATATAGTTATTACCGTAATATTGGTAACTGATGAGAGGGCCTATTTAGTGCATGTCCATGGAGGTCAGTCCTGTGTCTGGTCTGTTCAATATTTTCATTAATGACCTGGATAATGGAGTGGAGAGTATGCTTATAAAATGTGCAGATGACACCAAGCTCTTTGGAAGACAGGATCAGAATTTAAAATGACCTTGATAAACTGGAGACTTGTTCTGAATTCAACATCAAGAAATTCAGTAATGCTAAGTGCAAAGTACTTCACTTAGGAAGGAAACATTAAATGCACAACTACAAAATGGGGAATAACTGGTTAAGTGGTCATACTGTGGAAAAGGATCTGGGGGCTTGAGTGATGCTGACAATTTGTGTTTAAACGGTTATAAATCTTTAACTTTTTGAATCTCAATGTCTCCTGTCATTAAATAATTACTGTCTAAACCCTCCTCCCCCCAATTTCACTCAACTGTTAAAAATTAACAGGAGCTTAATCTGAGGCAGTATGGAACACCTCCAGTGCTAACATGCTTAAAACCCATCATTTTATGCAGATGTGAAAATTTTACATGTATAAAAATCTAAAATTACAAACAAACAAACACTTAAAAACTATGGTCCCAACAGAGATACTGGTTTTATGAGTCATTACAAATATATGTAACCCCCTAACCTTCCTTTTTCCTATGACTGCAGAGGTGTAATTGCCCATTTCATCTTAAATGTTCCCTTGCAACATGTGTTTACCCCTTATGCTACACAATCTGTCCCACTGTTGTATTTAGCTCTGACACTCTGATTACATGAAAAACTGAAGAAGAACTCTGTTTAGCTTGTGGGCTTCTCTCTCACACTAATAGAAGTTGGTCTCTCTTAAAAATAAACATTGATATTATCGGCTGAAATGATCAAAAAATAAAAAAAATAATTTTGCCAAGCCTAATTATATGCAGCAGCTCTTTATGTATGGAAATAGCAACAAAAGTATTACAATTACTCCTGGGGGAATTCTGCACCCAAAATAAAAAATTCTGCAAGAACAACAACAATAAATTCTGCAAAATTCTGCATATGAACTCCCAGCGAGGAGGTGGTGCAAGTTCCCGCTAGGAAGAGAGGGGGTTTTAAGGCCTACATTCACTGAGTGTGAGAAATGCATTTAAGTTTGGGATTTGTACTGGGGATCATTTGAACCATGTTTTAGCAGTAAACCAGCCCAGAGGAGATGAATTATTTAAGCAAGAGAGCCTGTTTGTGGAGTGAATGGTGACAAAGAATAAGGGAAATTGAGGTGGGAGCTACTGTTCCGCCATGACCTGCTGCTGGAGGATGCCGCAGGATGAAAAGCACCGACTCCCTGGGTTCTCTCAGGCTCAAGCACCCACCAAAAAAAATAGGGGGTGCTCAGCAATCTTTTATGGGCTTCACGCCTGCTCTGTCCACACTCCACCACTCGGCCTCTTCCCCAGGAGGCCCCGCCTGCCCCTCGCATAGGGGGATGGGGCAGAGAGAAGCACCTTCCCACAAAAACAAAAGTCAGCACCTGTGCCCAGGACACATGGGAAAATTTCAATTTTTACCAAAACATTTCAATTTTCTAACAGGAAAATCAAAAATATATTGGGGGGCAGGGGCAAGAGGGGAGGTTCAGTCCCACTCAAACTGTAATTTTTTTTGACCCAAAATGTTTTATTTCAGCTCTGTTCTTTGCAGTGGTGCAAGTAAAAATCATTTTTTGCCGGTACTGCACTCATGGGAGGGACACAAGGGGGGGCACATGACCTCCCCATGTGACTCCTCCCCACCCTGCTCCCAACCCGGGTCTCCCACGCTCTCTCCGTCCTCTCCAACAAAAACAGATGCATTTGTAAAATGATGCTTTGGGCCCCTGGTGCCACATGTACTTC